TTCATTGACATACATGTTGGAATTAATTTTATTTTTTACAACAGTACCTGCTTGCACTTGTGGCGGCACTACCTCCTACATTCGCCACCAGAGGTCTACCGAGTTGACACCATTCCCGCAACTACCTGAAGCCTTCCTCGTTTATATATATACGTCTTTAACCGACCATCGTATATCCCTGCGTCTAAGGCAGGGTCTACTAGGTAGCCTTACTGACGAGTCCATTAGCAGGCCCAAGACGAAACGCTCCCTCTCTCCTTTCCTTTTCACATTTTCCAATCAACAGATTGCCGCGACATCCGATTACGAGCGGGCCAGCGAGGCAGGCTAATTTTTCCAGTTAAGAAGGCATACCCACAAAGAGGAAGAAAGAGAAAGGGTGAGAAAATGAGAGAGCGCAAGCGGTTGTACTGTTGTAAAAAATAAAATTAATTCCAACATGTATGTCAATGAATAGTAGTTATATTAGGCCGATTCTGGATAAAAGTTCCAACGAAAATATCGTTGATAACGGTATTGTACTCGTACATATCGCAGACCTAACTGACTCCAACGGAAAGTTCTCACGCTATTGCACGCGTACATAAGTCAGACCTGATCTTGATACAATTTTTGGAATTATTATGCTATTGCACTCGTACCTATACCAGTTCAAACCAACGGAAAGTTCTCACGCTATTGCACGCGTACATAAGCCAGACCTGATCTTGATACAATTTTTTGAATTATTATGCTATTGCACTCGTACCTATAGCAGTCCTAGCTAACGGAAAGTTCTTCAAATTATTATGCAAGACCTGACCTTGATAAAATTGTTGGAATTATTATGCTATTGCACTCGTACCTATAGCAATCCAAACCCCCACCCCCCGATTCCAACGGATTCGCATTCTTGGAATTATTATACAATAACATACGACAGTCCTTCACGGAATTTTAGTTTTAATAAAATTATATTATTACTCTACTGCACTGGTACATAAGTGAGACCTGACCTTTGATAAATTTTCGTAAGCGATGACGGTGGTGTGGAGAGATTTTGTCCCGACACGCATCATCTCAAGTTACAGCGGCGGCAGCGGCGGGGCGCGATAACAGACCGCGTAACGATGATAAAACGACGATGATGACATAGTAGGAGGAATGGCGGTATAATATAATATAATATAATATACAATAGGTACATATGCTGTTCAGTTTTTTTTTATTAATACGCTTCGTACAAGATTGTGTTTTAACACAAAGCCAATAGTTCACAATCGATCAAACTGTTCTTTTCAAAATATTCATCGGACATCGTTATCGCATTTACAGGATCGTTCGTACGCGCTTCTTTCACAATTTCAACGAATTTTGCGAACTTATATTTAATCATAATAATGTTCTCCGACAACCATCAATACATATGGTCCATACAATACTCGAAATCGTATAAACATACTGACTTGTAGCGTTAACGTGTCACCGATTTTTACGATTTCGTTTAGCGTATGATGAGGTCAGCAACAATCGTTGAATGTCCACTTTCGTTCGTAACAGCTCTTTCCACGTTGACATGGGAAAAGGTATCTCGTTCCCTCGATTATGGCCTATAGCCAGCTCAACGCGGCAATCCCCGACAATGTTTACACCAATATCGAGATACTTGAAATAGTTACTGGTCAATGAAAATTTTCATTTCTATCTATATCCTTATTCGAAGATTTATTCGAAGGCTTGAAACAATTTCGCCGAGTATCTTTTATTTGAAGCTGGGTCTCCAAGCGTCCGAACGTGAAGCAAACAAGGAAGTGTTCCCTGTCTGCTAACTACATACATACAATGTAAGCATTTGGAAAGATCCGTGTCAAACAATACGGAGTTAAACCGAAATGTTAACAACGCCTTGGAATATGAGCTCCTTATTATGATATCCTTAACCAAAGCCTTAAATTTTTAATTTTAAAAATAAACGGATTGCTCAACTCGAATAAGTTAATTGTTTATGTAATAAAATAGTTTATAGCCTAAAACCATTCCCGAAAATTGCACTACACCATAAAACCAACCACATCGAAATTCATTCAGTAGTTCTTGAATTATAAGCTTTTCCCCCTAAAGCTCGGCTGGGCTCGGGCCGTTTCGATTACCCATATACAGGGTGTAAGAAAAATATTGCAGATCCTTGAAATGAGTCACTCGTGAGATGATTTGGAACAAATTATCCGGTTGCAAAAATGTTATTAGAGGATTCGTTAACGAGATATTAACAAAAACCCCGACCAATAAGAACGCGAGTCTGCCGATCAAGTCCCGCGGTAACGTTGGCTAGCAATCGCAACGTCTAACCAACGTTACCGCGGGAACTCGGCCAGCAGACTCACGCCCTGATTAGTTTTTCGTTAATATCCCGTTAACAAATCCTCTGATATCATTTTTGCTAAGGAAAAAATAGTTTTAAAAACTTCTTGATGTGCGTTCCTTTTAAAAAGTAAACGGATTTATAGATAATTTATATTTGTTCGTCATACCTAAATGCATTCGCAGGTAACATTTGGTTGTAAATATTTTGCTACATGCATACTTTTATTTAATAAAATAATGAAAACACAATTTTGTATCGCCTGATAAACTCTGTCCCAACGAAACTGCAGACCTGCAGGGATACCGTGTTATTGTTATTTGTACCAACTAAGGATGGAACAAAACAGAACCATTTGACTTTTGCAAAAGTATACTATGGCATTGCAGTATTTGTTGAAAAACTTCACTTTATATTAAAATGTTACTAATAGTAAATAAAGAATAATCATGTTTGCATAATCTGTAAAACTATTACAAACGTAATATGCGTAGAGTAAATTAAAAGTAAGTAGTTTACAAATTATACCTTTTATTTTTAACATACTTTTTATAATGCAAGGTGAAAGCGGAGAAATCTTTTATGTATAGGGGAATACGGACTTACAAGATGTACGTATTTCCTGTAGTTGACAAGACTTAGCTCTTAGAACGGATAGTGCTGGAGCATATAAAGAGGACGTAGATTGCCTATTGTCGTTGTAGTACTTACTAAAACGTTCCAGAATGCTGGTCATCATCAACAGAAGTATCTTTTTTTGTTCGGTGATGTATTACAATTTAATATTCTTTCGCACGATATAATTAGTATATTTCCTGAAAAAGTATAAGAGCCCAGATAGCACATGACGCATTGAAGACGGCTTAAAAGCGCCTTAGACCAATAATAGCCGTAAAAAAGGGGTCTTTAAGGCGCATGTGCTATCTAGGAGATAGTAACAGGTAACAAGAAAGAATTTGTTTCGATGACATTTTTTATAGTACGAAAATTTAATAAACCGTAGAAATGTTTGTAAGTAGGATCAAATGTTTAGAAGTTGACAGTATCTGTCTGTTATGTTCTATAGTTGTATGCCCAGATAGCACATGACGCCTTGAAGACGCCCATTTTACGGCTATTTTAGGTCTAAGAAACTTTTAAGCCGTTTTCAAGGCGTCATCTACTACCTGGGAATGGTAATCATATACTTTTAAATGTATATATAATAACACAAGATTTTCAAGCAACGGGAACTTGTGGCATATTAGTGAAATAGTAGATTAAAGCATCCATTTAGATATATATTTTATTTTAATATCCGTTAATAAAAACAAAAATGAACCGTTCAATTTTAGAACTCATATTTTCGTAATTTATTTCATTTCATTTCAAATTATGTAATCACGTATTTCTGCTACTTTGTTTAGAAATTGTGTATTTCTGTTCATATTTTTCTTGGAATTAGTATAGTCAGCATTCATCAAACTTACACTAATGTGTTATGTCAATGTCTCATGATTATTATTTTATATTGTTTTCAGTTTTCATTTGTACGCTCGTGTTCTTTCAAAATTTATACCTTTGAAACCTCTGCCCTCTTATTATTAAATAATAAAGACATTTTGTACATTTTTTATAAAAAATATTGTGCTCTAAACTTGGGCAATTATGGGAAATGTAAAAAATTAATTTACTTATACAGTATGACTTGAAGTGTATGAAATTTTTCGTAACTAATATACTAAAATGTCATAATTTGATCCATTTCAAAATTTAGCTACCTTTAATACTCTTTTATAATTTTAAACAATGTTACAAATTGTTGATTATTGAAAATTTTTCAGGAAAGAATTTAAAATTAATGTTTTGCGCCAATTTATCGTGATAAAATTGTACATATTTGCAAAAAAAGTCCATTACTTAGGTTATTTGAAAAATACCATTTTGTTCAGGTATCAGCCCTCGTTTTTAGTATGTACCAGATTTTTGTGAATATCATTATTTAAGAAATTAAACTTATTTCTATGTCAATTCTACCTTGTGGTATTATTTTAGCAGCACCATTGTATCGCAATTATTGTTATATTTTGTAAATGATTATTATTTTCTCCTACACTCTATACGTTTTAATCAAATGCAGCATTTCTTTGCTCATTAAATCATGTCGATATACCGGTACTTTATTACCTAGATAGCATATGACGCCTTACAGGCGCCTATTTCACGGTTATTTTACGTCTAAGGCGCCATTAAGCCGTCTTCAAGGCGTCATGTGCTATCTGGGTTAGTATGTAGAAAAAAATATCTTTTTTTTAAGTTTCTATTTTTCTAAAAGAATATTTTGATGTCCGTTTATTGTTACTAACAATTTCATGATTATGTTTCAATAAATGTCATTCACTTTAGTAAAAGTATATAACTTCTTATAAACCTGTAAATAGTTTTTATTCTTATATTCCGAACAATTGGTTGCATATACAATTAATTGTAAGTAAGAAAAAGATATCCAGAATTCATGAGTTACTACTTGCAATTATTTGTTACATCGACATTGTGCCAACAAATGTAATATAGTAATTTTAGTTTGAAGATGTAATATGGAAACTGTCCAATTCAGGTAATCTTTGCTTGCTTGATGAATGGTATTTTAACAACAAAAACACTTCAGAATTTCCCACCAATGCCGAATTTGTTGCTGTTTCCGCTTCGTGGTTATCTCCCCATTACAAATACTACATTTCCAAAACTTCCACAACATGTTGTTTTCGTTAACCAAACATTGAACAACGGCTTGGAAAATCTTGGAGCCGCAAGTAAAGGCTTTATTGAAAGACGAACTCAAGTAGGATACTCATATCTGAAACCATTATCGATCGACATCGAAGTACCTTTTAAGGATCGGGAGACTAAATCCATCACTGACAAGCAAAGGTGAGAATTTAAGATTTTAAGACATTTAACAACTCAATTCATAAGTATAGTATACATCAATTCAGAGTTAACAAGAGTTGTTATTTTTCATTGTTTTATTATTTTAAAGATTAAGTATTATTTTCTACATTATAATATGTGACATTTATCGTAAAAATAAATAAAACAATAAAAGTCACGCCACCACACGCATCTACTAAAAGATGTATGGCCACACAAAAATATTAACACATCGATTGTCACAGTGAAAATGGCTGTACGTAGTCAGATACACTTTATTTAAAGTCATAAATCGTTGAAATTGTATGCCTTTTGTTATTACAGGCTGTTAGTCGTGTTCCAAATAATACTGCAATATTAAATATTACGCGAAAATTTTATAACTCTGAGAAGAGAGCAAAATCCAATTTTTTTTTTCTAGGATGAGGCAAACTTTTACCGTCTTTAGTATAATACTTATACACTTATACTATCCATAGCAATAATAAAAATATGTAGTTCTATTTAAAAAGTTACATTGCTATAAAAATCTCTGTAAATAACAACGAAAAAAAATCAAATAATCTATTAAGTTTGTTCCATTAAAATTAAACAACTTTCATATAAAACAGTATTTTGCATTTTTAATATTTAGAGAAATAATAGCGTGTATACACTTAAACCGGACATACTGTATATGGTATCTATTTGCCTAAATTTAATTGTGAATTCTCCAGGCATTCGAGAAAGCATCCCAGATTGCACATGATGCCTAATGACGCCTTGAAGACAGCTTAAAGGCGCCTTAGATTTAAAATAGTCGTAAAATGGGCGTCTTTAAGGCGTCATGTGCTATTTGTGTTAAGTCATTAATAATGTCCGCTATTTTACTGTAATATGCTGGACAGAATATTAATTCAATAATAACATATTATTAATTTACATTTTAAGATTGCCGAAAGAAATAAAAGATAGCTATAAAATGGCAACAACGAGAATACCAGAAATATCAAGACCAAGTAATGTGCCGAGGCTGCGAGCGGAAGATGCCCGCGTTCCCTGGCGGAAGTCGTACCAAGTTGTAGAAGAGAGTGATGAATACCTAACGGTTAATTCGGATTATGTTCGATTGCCGTATCGTGAGAAGGTTCAGACGATAGATCCCCATCGTGATTCCCAAGACATAACAACGGCCATCAAGACCCTAGATCGCTTCCTAAACGGGGTTTTAAATAGTGGCAGTTCCAACAGTGATGTACATCCACCACTCAATCCTGTTTTTGCCCTCATTCTGTCGCGATACGGACGATACGTGTTTGGAGCACAAAACCCTCGCGTGTACGCGTATATGGCTGCAAACAATATACACAATAACAAACCTTTTGGTAACTATAAGGTGGAATACGAAGAAGTACCTACTTATGTTTGAAGATGTTTGACGTTTATTCCTCACTAGACTTATCTTCGATTCATTTTCCTGTCATCGCAACAATTAATTCAACGATCATTGGAAATGTACCATCTGCCTTCATTTATAATAAACTCAAGAATTGATTTTATTTTCGGGAAATATTCAATACCCCCACAACAGTTTAAGTACCTTTAAAAACGAACGACGACATAGATTCTGCAGTGAATTACTTAACTCACAATATAATAAAGGTAATCCGGGCTTCTACTCCCAATCTGAAATATCTGAATTGCCAAGACTACTCAGATTTTATAAGTAAAAGAATTGTCGAAAAATGAAAGTTTCGGAGAATCTGGTATAATTACAGGCTTCTTCGGAATTTTAAAATACCTAGCAAACTTATCTCCTACAACTGGTACTAACGACTCGCTCTGGAAAGTCGTTAATAAACAAAATTTAAAATATGAAAAATTAAAGAAGTAAAAATTTCGGGCTTAAACAAATTTTTTTACAAAATTGGTTACGCTAGTTGTTAATACCTTGTCGAACAATCCCATATTAAAGCAAAATTCATCGTTCTACATTAATTTGTTGCAGAGGAAATCTGAATTTTTGCGACTCGGCTAAATATAACGCACGAGTTCAACTTTGAGCCGTACTAGCAGCGCCGACGTTATTTTGTTTTTTATTTTGCGCTCTAGGCCAAGCTACTTAACGCGCACCCTATTTTATAAATTAGTTACGTTTTTTTTTTCAAATTGAAATTACAAAAAAAGGAAACAATAATTTGAATCCACATATTTATTATCAATTGCACAAAAAAAGTTACACATGGATCATATAAAATTTTACACACCAGATGTAAAACGTTCGCAAACAATAAGCGGGAATAAATACATCGACGAGTCAGAATAAATCTTGGAAATTAATAATTATAAGCTTGGCCTGTAGTAACTAAGAATGTGAATGTTCGCGCTGAGCGCACAATTTTCAGGGTGAGCTCATAGCTTGTACGTAATGCTTTTTCGCTAAAAAGTTCCACTACTCCAGTTGCGCCTTCCTATGAAAACAATAGAAGCATTGACTAACGCTTAATCGAAATGCCCGAATTAATAAAATTGTAATCTGTCTCAAAACTGACGCAAAGAAGGAAATAAATGTCAGCAATAGAAGCATTATTGTTGCAGTGTACTTACAATTTCAATCATGAGCTCCTCCGCGAATTTAGTGCGAGATTCGCCGATATATTCCTTGTATTTATCAGCGTGATACATGTTATAATGCCTCTGAATATTATATTTTTTGCATATTATATGTAGGAAACACAACAGACATTGAACATCCGTACCATGTTCCCGACGAAAATAAGCTAACATCCAATCGGGGTCAAATTTGGCAACTTTTATGCGCTTTGAAGGAGGATCCATGAGTGAACAAAACGAAAAAACACAAAACAAAGTTATTATAAATAATTAACAAACAAACACTTAAATTAAATCTTTGTTAACGTATAAACAATGTTGATAATGCAATAGTATACTCAGTGAGTACTCGACACAACAAACTTCAACAAACAACAAAAACTTTCCGTTATTTAACCTACTAATCGCAATAATATCGAAACTGTTTTTTAATGGTTACTTTCATGTGCATTCTCAAAATCGTTCTTCACTTGTATTGTAAACAGTGTCGGTCCTGGGTACTTGGTAGCCCGTGTGCAGACCCATGTTTGACCACTACGTTATTTCATTATAATTAAATTTTGTGAAAATACAAAAATAGTCGTACTTCATACAGGGTACGACAAAAAAATGATTTCACTTGTAAAATATGTGTTATGCATTTTATTTTAATAAATCTTTACATAAAAAAACAAAAATCTTTATATCTTTTAAAATATTCTAAAATTAAATACTTTAATAAATGTACCTACGTATTCAAAACAACCCTCCTGGCTTTTAGAAACGCGAATTCGCGTATCATTTTGGACAAGTCTATACTATCTGATATTTCATGTTCAATACAAATAAATGTAAGACTACTCACAAGGGATCTTCGCGAAGTGATACCCGCCGATTTTTTCGTAAATTTGCCCAATTGTTTATGGGAACAACCTAAGAATTTTATCGTTCTTGGCTGCAATTATCGCTTGCGAGAAAACTTGCCACCTAGCGGTCGTTACCAAAAACCCAAGCGACTGGGAGAAACGTCTCCACAGACCGCCTGTCCTATCAAATCTCCTACATTACAACAGTTCAACAGTGACAACGAATGCATGTATATTATCAAATATCGGACTAACAGTATATTTTTATTCTATATTATTATATATAAGTGAGTAATACGTATCAAAAACGTAATCGAAACACAGATTTTTATTACACCACAAACATCGCATAAAAGGTATTTCGTTATATTGACATTTGTAATAATTATGGATGTTGCGGGGAAATCAATATTATTGACATTATGGAACATATAACGAAATATCACTGTACCACTTAAAAAAGTTTTAAAGTTCCATTTATATCATTGTCCTGTGAAAATGTTCATACTTCCAGCAGCATTCATATTCCAATCAAAGAATTTATAGAATAAGGAAAAGGAATCTAAAGTAATTTTCCGTAGTTCCATATATCTTTATCTCGAATAATTTTCTAAAACATTCAAAGTACTAGACATTTTTACACTTTGAATCTCATATCGATTTCTAAAATAATCCTAGTTCGATGTAATATAGAACGTGGTTTTATGAGATAGATTCGAAGTGCGCAGCCATTAGCTCGATATTGTCTTCGGTTTACAGTACTTTACCAACGATAATACCGATTGCCCAGGCCTCACCACGAGGAGGTTGCTGTGAATGGAGGCCCAAGGCAGGTAGATGGAATCACAAGTTCTACATCTACCCACCTTTCACAATAAACCTTATAAATAACTTAAATCTTAACTTTCTTGAGCCTAAACCTATAAAACATTAAGTTCCCTCGTCGGTTGTCTTCGTTCTTCAGCTTAGAACTAATATTATCTTAATATTCTAATTAATATGAATTAATGCTATTAATACAAAATAACTTAAACTAAACGCAACGTAGTCGCTAATACTCAAACGAAAGAGATAGACGGAATGGAAAAAGTTCCATCGATCATTTCGTTTACGCACCTAATATAC